ATATATGTATCGTTAATTACACTGATGATATAATTAAAATACATGCAGATATTAAAATGTAAGGATCAAAATACTGAAGAAAAGTTCTAATCAGTGTTATTTTTCGAGATATGTTTTATATATAGCATTAATTATCATATTCGTGATGCTAATACATCATTGGTTAAATGCAACGAATTTATTTTTTTACAGTGAATTTATAATTATTTGTTTAAGTTCTATATAAAATGTGGGAAAGGGTTTTACCCGGTCGATTTTGTAACAGGTGTTGTATATTAAGTAACCGATTTCACAGGGATTTGGTCGACAATACTCAAAGTAAGAACAAGGATCAGGCATTAACTTAACAATATAGAATTTAAGTAAGCAGTAAAGAATAACAGAAGATTATTCGCTTCAATTCCTTGCACAGTTATTGATAATGTCCCTCTGGCCAAATGGGAACGTCTCTGCTGATGAGGTGTTCCATAATCACTTATTCGGAAATAGTGTTGCTGATAGGGGGCGGTGTCTACTTTAGTGTTATTGTTATCTGGGATCTGGCTTTGGACTGGGAACCAACCAACCCAGCGATTTTTCTATATATTTATATACCGTCATTATTTTTGTCTTTAATACGTTTATTTGATTAATTAAAAAAGCTGTTTAATATGTATATGTATTGTTATGTATTCGTTAGATTGTCGGATGATAATATTTATTCATTTATGCAAAACAAGGTGCAAGAAAATGTATTATCTTTAAAAAGTATGAATAGATTTTGTCCTACAAAAATATAAGAAGCAAATTGCTCTTTTAACTAGACTGATATAGGATCATCTACTTACTTAAAGATAGGAAACTGTCAACTTCTTTGTATTATTGTATCATAACTCCATCGACATTGAATACAGTAGTTATAAATCAAACTATGTATTCTGGGAGAAAACAAATGAGTCTGAGTCTAAGAAATATTTATTTTCACACAAAATCAAATAGTCAATACGTAAAAGAACATATAATGGTGTGAAGAAAGGCGAACCACAGACAAGCTACAATACAAGCTTTTGAACTGTGGCGCCCTTAACTTAAAAATTCATAATCTTACAAATCAATTATAAATATTAGTAATATAGTATTATAGTTAATAATTTAATTTTAGTTTTTAAATGACAGATTGTCAATCCGATTCATACTAAATATTACCATGATTTACATCGCTAGAATTATTTAAAATTTATATCACTATTGTTTAGTCAGCTGCAAGGTCAAGATGAATACTAAATAATGTGATGCATATACAATATCGACATCGACGATATTTGAATATGTATTTTATCAGGTGACCGATCTATCATTGTAAAATTGTACAAACAGGGAAAGAAGAATTATCGTAATGACTGAATTTCTCTCTCTTGTTTACTCTTATTTTAAACCCATTAGCTTTAGTTCCGCATACCTGAGCTAAACTTAATAGTCTTTTCTGGAAAAGACGTCGACGAACAAATGGAAATTGTTCAACTGATTTAAATACAATTTACCCTTTGCAGACTTGTCGAAAAACTAGATGATGAGCCTAATAAAGTAAGCCTTAAAAGTACACCTGTGTAGTTTAAATATGTATATGTATACATGTAAATAATGAAATAAGGGTAGAAACAGTGCTCAGGTAGGCCTATTTTAAAAATAGTCTGCCAAAAGCCATCATCACGCATGATCGTTTATTCTTATCTCGGGCTGACTTTACTGCTAAGGTGTTTTACGGAAATTGTTTATGATTAATCAAGTATTATTTATCGAGTTGACGTTTACTCATCATTAGCATGATGGACACATCCATATTATCAAGAACTGCAATAGGAAATGTAATTTGGGCAACTAACCAACACAATTACATCAACTATTTTGTGCATATTCTCCGCATTACTTGTCATAAGGGGATTACATGGTATCAGCCCATAATTTGCTGATAATTTTAACAAATCAAGAAAACGCCTTAGATGTCAATTTTAATTGCAATTTGATAGTTCTGAGTGACAATTGATTACGGGTTTTATTGGAACAGTTAGTGGAGAGCCGCTTGTGTTAAGATGTTCCCGAGGCATTTTTTATTTGGCGGCATGGGGCAGGTACAGAGGCAGTTTTTTCCTGCTGTGACGTTAGACGATTTTCCATAACAATCGTAATCTTCATAAGATAATAAATAATAATAGGCTTACGTTTATAATAATAATAATAATGATAATAATAATAATAATAATTATTATTATTATTATTATAAAATATGTTACATTCTATTGAAGTAGGGCCAAGTTAAAATTTAAAGTGGGTTTATTCAACTTTATTCGTAGTTTAGGTTTGAACTATTAAACACATTATAAAATGTAGTCGTACTCTGTGGTGAAATCTGAACATCCTTAATTGCAAAATCATTCGTTTAAATTATTAAAGTGCATATAGGCCTAACAGGGTAAAAAAGTAGCCAACTTCCAATAAAACAATAATGGTTTTCGCTGGTTTACAAACTTCACGCTCGGAGAAGCAGAGTAAGGAACGGTGTTATGCCTATAGGCCTGTGTGACTTATCTTTTAATTGGCGGGGGAAATCTACTCTTTTTCTAAATAAACTTAGGGAATTATTTTAAAAAGTAACTAGTAAATAATGTTATTGGTCATCAGCTCATCACAAGCAAACGTTATTTCTTTAAATACGAATATAAATTACTTCCATAGAGGATAAAACATTTGACAGGGATCAAACTCATCGATAGTTCAAATGCGGGAAGATTATATTAAGGTATAATTTATTATAATCCTAGATAATCCATAGCTTTCCTCTATGTGACCAAAGATGATTATGTGTGACCGTCAAATAATGACGTCCCGCAGGGATCGCTTCCAAGATTGGAGATAATTTGATTAAAGTATAACTAGTCTGGTGTATAATTGATAGCTTAAATAAGGTGGTAGTAAATATAACGTATAAAAACATAACTTTGTTTTGCTGCATCAAGGAATAGGCTATTATCGATATTATGTTCAAGGTTTATTTCTGTGTCCCACTGTTGGAACCCACCAATGACAATGATTCAGCCTGTGAACCTACTGCACATCGAAACACTTGATGAAGTTTTTTCTCATTAGCAGTGATGAATACAATAAAATGATAATGCTCATCAATTATCATTTAATCCTCTATAATTTTTATCTTTTGCTGATTGATTAGTCCTTAATTATTAATTTTTTTTTCTTTATAAATGACGAATGGTATGTAAGGCGTTTCTATCTTCTAATTCTAATAAAATGAAAGTAGGATGTATACGTAGTTCAGTACAACAAAAACCATGAGGTATAAAATTTATACAACCATGGTACAACCATATACTCCATTGTACGATAGGCGTTTACTGAACTTAATTCATATACTGACTACGTATCGTGATTTACACGACTGGACCGTAAGATGATAAGATTCATATCGATTTCCCTTAGGTGCAACCTAATTAGCATAACTGGATAACGTCACCTGCATTTCTAACTTGTCTCAATTATGAAAATGAAATTTTACAAGGTAATCGCGAAGAAGCCAAGATGAAATAGTTTAGAGTCTTACCTTAATATTTAAGGTCATTGAACGGAGATTCTTTAACCTGTACCAGGGCGGTAGCCCGCTGATTCTGCCAGCGTTATGATCCATTTTCATGCCGGGTCCAGTCTAGCCTAGGGCTAAATTATGCTAGAAATATTCGTAGGGCAGGTATGCGCAAACAAAAATAAATGACTTTAGCAGTGTTGCCATCGAAGACTCAGTGACAAATTACATCATCACATCGACCAAAAGAGAGTAAAAAATCTGCTTAACCTATTTCGATATGTAAGTGTTCATTAGTTTTAATGTCATCGGTGATAAAGAAGTCGAGTTGTTCCATGTTCATGGATAAACTATTGCAATTTCAGTGTCGAAGTGCAAAGGAATTCGTTTGAAAACCTCTGTCAACACAATGCCACATGTCACAGCAATCAAAGAACCCATTTTTTCCGTTGAGAGGCTTATTATGATTTAAGTCTAGAGATTTAATATTCAGTTACTTATTTTAAAAATATTTAATGTTAAAAAACAAAACCCTATCAGGTAACACATGCGTGTTGATATTGTTATACGTATTTCTAAATACGTAGAATGAACAGGGTTACTTTAATCAATATTTTGAACCTAAATGTGTTTTATTAGTAGTTTTGAGCACGTATCTAATGTGTTTCAGCTTTTTACCATAACTTTTAAAAACAGTTAGGCCTATAGGCCTTTTATTATTATTATTATTATTATTATTATTATTATTATTATTATTATTATTATTATTGGCGGTAGTACCCCCAGTATCCGACCGACCGTAGATACTCGCCAAAGTTTACTAACGACATTTCTTATATATTACTCTCGGTACTTCATTCTTACAATTTCGTTTGTTGAATTGAGTAGCTTTTAATTTTTATTTTCTGGTGCTTAAATAATAAATGAATATATCAGAATTAGGCTTGATTTTTGAAATGGTGCGACAGTGATGGAGAAAGTTATAATGTTATAACCGAAGGTTGCTATATGGTTAATGAAAGTGATGGCAATGTTGAGATCTTGATGGTTTTTCCACGGAAGTACTATAGCACCTCCTTATAGAATGAACCTGAGAGGGCAGAATGTATGATTACTGCTGTTTTATTACTGTACTGTATTTACAGTTAGGCCTATCGAATTGATAATGTGAATCCGTATAGGTCTATAATCATTACGTAATTGTATGTTGTTTGTAATTACTACGGTATATATTACTGTGAAACAACAGATAATAAAATAATCTAAATTGTTACACGTTTATCTTTGCAGAGCCAAGTCAAAAAATGGCGGAAGGTATCTCAGAGAGCGGTTAGAGAAAATTGGCCTGAATCTACCTGCTGGGCGTCGAAAAGCTGCCAATGTTACTCTCTTTACATCATTAGTTGAAGGTATGTCAACATTATATAGTTCTGTATGACACTGGCAATTGTGGATGAGAGTAGAAACCGCTACAATTGTTTACATTGTGGCGCCAATTGCTGCATTTTGTAGTGTACATATTAATATCATAATCAATATTTGACAAAGATCCGACATGTGTCGTAATTATGGTTACTCAATTAGAACACAAATATTCATGTTGTAAAACCGTATTGTAACACACAGTCCAATCTGTACTTTTCTTTGAATAGTGCTCCTCATTTAGCAGTAGCCTAAAACTCGCAACCATTTTTAAAGTCATAAAGGCCCATGTCATTTAAATGCTTATCATATAATATACATACATATTATATATATATAATATATATAAAATATATACATAATATATATATAATATATATAATATCTATATATAATATATATATATAATATGTATATAATATATATATGTAATATATATAACTTATAAATAATATAATATTGTTTATACAACATGTTTTATATATATATATATACATAATATTCGTTATTAAATAATTTTGTATATATCCTGAAAAAACGTCAACCACCTATGTTATTATTTTTTGTCACCATTTTACTATATATATAATTTAATATATAATATATATATATATATATATTCATTAACAATTGTATATATACATATTCATTGAAAAATTCGTTAAATCCAACATACAAATAAATGTATTGAAACGGTATACTGTAGCATTGTACGTACAGTGTGCAATTGGCGTACAGTTAAAAAATATATATCAATTTCCGCGTGTTCCTCAGGAATCGTTTCTAATTTTTATGAATTTATCATAGCTTAAATTATAACCAGGCAAACATTATTAGGCTTACGGATACAGTAGTTAAACATTATGCCATCGTACTACATACAGCATGGTGTAGTAGTTGGCCTAAAGGGTTAAAATAGAAGTTTATAAAAGTTAACAATAGCATTCTGAATCCCTACATAGAAAGGCTAGACGACTTTTTAATATAATTATATTAGGCTGTTCCTCAGTGTACAATCAGTCGCATATCTCGGGGTGAAAATATCACCATTTCGGCTGCTCTTACTTAACCGACGGCGCGTATAATTTATCCTGCAGCGGTTCAAATAGTAGTATTGTGTGCTCTTTACAATACGCCTTGAAATAATATTGTATATGGTATAGTATAAAGATCTATGTTTTCAGTTTTTATTTCAATTTATGTTAGTCTTTGATTTTAACATTTGACGGTGCTATTATTCAGCTTATTTTATGTATTGTCTAGAAACATGGCGGAACTATTTGCATTGTTATACGCCAATTAAATATGTCTCAATGGGACGTTGTTAACCATTCTTGTAATAACCTTGGGAAGGTGTTGCTATTTCATTCATAATTATTAGGAATATCAATTAACAAGATCTAGTACTGGTAGCAGAGTGGCCACTTGATCCATTGACCCTCTCGTACCAACCTCGCCCCTGGACAATACGCAGGTGTGATCATCAGATTAGGCTTGACCACCTTGCCCAGGCCCAGTCAATAAAAACACCACTTCGGATAAAAGTATTTTACTAAGGTGGGACACCGTGAGACAAAATACCGCTGTCCAGGTAGACGCATGATTGGCAGTGTCCGTCTCATTCATTGACATAAATGTAACTCAAGCGTTCCACCTTAATCAGATCTCATTATAACAACACACTAGTTTAAATGACCATTCCTAGGTCCTAAGAATAAAATAATAAGCTAAGACATGTCAATTTTTAGATCGTGTCAATTATCACTACATAAATACACTAACTTTAGGTAGGCCTGTAGGCATATATATGTGCACATACATACATACATTCATACATACATACATACACCCATACACACACACACACACACACATATATATA